ATAGATCTACATATGTATATATATATATGCATATGTTTTTTAATTTCTTTTCTAGGTGATGGTTGTACGTAACAATAATTACACAATACACATTTTTCCCACTCAATACATAAATATATATATATACATATGTAGATCTATATATATATATATATATATATATATATATATATATATATATATATATATGTTTTTTACATTTTGTTCTAGGCGATGGTTGTACATAACAATATATTACAATAGCAAATAACTAAATAACATATTTGCTTTCTCTGTAATACATTAAAAAGCCACAAGATATCAATGCTTATTGAATGTCTGTACGATTGAGAACAGATTTTAAGATGGACTGCTTTGCTGCATTAACCTGTTCCACTTGGTTAATAAAAGTTTACTATGCTTCTATTAGTTGGTAGTTGTTTAATTTGATCTGTGCACCACTGCTTTAAATTAACAGCTCTAAAATGGGAAAACTTTTTGTTTTAAAAGTAAATGACCTCTCGGCTCTGTTAGGAAGACAGGTAATAAAAAAGTGAATCAATTAGTCAATAGTTAGTAATAGCATTCAGGAAAATATGAATTTTCTTATTCGGCGTCAGAGCTTTCCGGTCTCTGCGCCGTACCATGAGATGTAAATATATCTGGTTGGCAGGGTCCTCCAGCATCTTCAGGGTCCAAGGGTAGTCACGGGTTGAAAGTTCATCCTTGGGCCTCCTGTCAGGGGGTCGGGCGCCCCTGGGGCCTCGGATCCCTGGGACCTGGGAACGGATTCACTTCGGGGTGGGGCTGGGTGTTGTTCGGGGATTTTCGGTGTCGATGCCTTTTTTTGATGCCAGTTTTGTAATATCGGTTCGGGGGGGAGGAGAGCTGCACGGCGTGGTGAGGTGCAGGCCTTGGGTTTTGTTTTGGGCTCTGGTTTTACCATATGCATTTTTCCTCTTGCATAGGGGAATTCTTTTTTCGGTGGGGGGAAGCGGTTGTGAGCGGGTCGGCGTCTGGCGTTCACTGTTGCATTGTGGGGGCCATTTTGCTTGGCCGTTTTTCTTTGGGGGGATTGGCATGCCTGTTTTCTCGGGGGGCGGGCAGGCCCGTTGGGTGGGGGTCCTGCTGTCGGCGCGCCGCTGGTGTGTGGGGGTCTTGGCTGCTCCGGCGGGGGTGGTGTTTAGGGGCTGGTGTGGATGGGCTGGCTGCGGTGATTAGGTTTCCGGGTGGGTTTTCCCGCTTGGATTTATGGTGGAGCTGCTTTGTTCCCGCTGATCGCAGCGGGTGTGGCTGTGCGGCGGGTGGGGGGTGGAGTGGCTCCGCCTGGCGCACGTCGGAGGGCCGGAGCAGCGTAGCTGGTGCGTGCGGGGGTGGGGGTGG